TTTTAAATTTAACCACAACGCGATGTGGGGGGGGGGGGGGGGGGATCACGATTTCCACAAAAATATTACGCAGAACAATGTTATCAATGTTTTAACATTAATAATGAGAAATGTTATTGAGCACCAAATCACTATTAGAATGATTTTTGAACATGTGACACTGAAGACTGGAGTAATGGCTGCTGAAAAGTCACACGAATAAGTAAAAAAAAAAAACTCATATTTTGAAAAGAGGTATTTGTATTAATGTCTCACCTGGCACCTCATGGCTAAAATAATTTATAACACCATAATCTCTCACATTTACAGTCTAATCATTGGTGCTTTATCTGACATGGTCTCATCTGGTTCCACTACATGGTATTCTTCTATTTCAGTATCATTATGTCTGAGACTGTCAATGAAGTGCACATTTCTTGTGTCTGTTTGTCTGTTCATGTGTTGGGCATTCTTTACTGATTGAGCCCTGTCTGTGGGGCCATGCAGTTGGCTATTGCTAGGAAAAAAAGATGCTATTTTGCCTGAAATGATGTGGAAGAAAGAGAATGTGTGCTCAGCGTCCTCCCTGTCTGTAACACAGACAGAAGACAGAGCCGGGTCACTATACGATGCCCTGGACTCTATAGGCGGATCAGACTTTTTCTTTTTGCTTAATATGAAGTTAAAGAATCCAGTCACTACCAGCATAATTCCTGTAAAGAAACAGACAAAGTTTTTAAATTCATGTTAACCTGTATGTCTGTCCATAATATTCTTTGGGGTATTTTTACAAACTATCTGACTTCCAATCAAAATCTTTAAAAATTATTATTTTTATAGATCTCACAAAGTCCAAATTAATTGATTTAAGGTCATCTGTATGCTTGTGTATTCCTAAACATTGGCAGAAATAACTTTTAGCAGATATTTATCTATTTAAATTGTTTTACAATAATGCTTATTATTTCTTTAAATGTGTTATTTATTTATTTACATTTTAAATATATAATTTACGCAATAAAGTGAAGCACCTGGTATTACAGCATGCCATACAAGCACTGGATGCAGGAAACACATCAAAGACATCATTGTGTAGTATAGAAACTTCTGAAACCCCCCAACTTTGGCCATCTTCTTCCAAAGAATGAAAATCTTCCATGTGGGTGTACAACTCCAAGCAAGAAAAAACAGATATGAATTATTTTAACGCATTAATTAAAATCACAATAATACCACAGATGATCACATAACAAGAACAATTACATGAGTCCTTTATAATTTGATTAAACATACGGAAGGCACATTGCCAACAGAGTGTCAATGAAATAGGCAACTTCAAAAATTAGGATCACCACCGAGGAGAGCCTGTAGAGAATACAAACAGAAGTAAAGCAGTGGTTTATAAAATATCTAACTTTTTGTTAGTAAAACAAACAAACAAACAAAAAAACAGTATAAATAGTTCAGTAAGCGATACCAAAACATACTTTAAAGTAAAAATGAAATCAAAATGTACTCTTGTTTTCTTTATTAATGCATGTTCTTGGTTTTATTATAAATTATTCAAATGCAACTCCCACTATTCACAGTCTAATCAATTCCTAAGAATAAACTTATTCCTAATTCTTACCACAATAAAGTAAAATGGACTGTGGACTAATGTAGACGTTAACCATTTCTTTCCCTTTATGCTTTTTATTAGATATTAATTAGCATTTAGCAGTTACTTGATCATAAACTTCCTGGCTTTTTATGGTATTCTGGTGTTCATGCATGTGAAAAACCACTTTATGTTTAATCCCAATGGAAATATCTCCCCATTGTTTATGCAGAACCTCTCTAGTTTGGCTAGTGAGCCCGGAAAGATCAGATAATCTGGGACAAGAGGTTAATTTGCCTCCATTTGTGTGTAATTCCCAAAAGGCGCTACTGTATTGCCAGCTATAGTTAGAAAAGGAATGACTGTGGCCTTCATTGAACATGCCCCTATAAGGGTGATGAGCCGTCACCTGTTTGTTTGTGTAACATCCTTCAGTTGCTTCACCCTACGAGTGGCGTCAAAAGCAATGACTCTGGCCAAAGTCAACACTATTGACCCAGATACCAATACCATGTGTGCATTGTAGGTGGATTCTAACAATTCAATTGTAAAAGGGCCTGAACCATTGTCAT